AGTTTTTATTTTTATTTTTTATAAGTAAAGGCATATAACTAGTTTAATTGTAGTGAATTGACAATAGTTTTATATAATTAGTTTATTAATCAGATTAACTTGGTCAATAAACTTGGTCTGAAAATTTGGTCCATAAATCAAACACACTTGCATGTAATAATATGAAACTTGGTACACATATAGATCTCATCGTTTCATATATACTTCACACTCTTACTTTTTACCCCAGCCCAACAGGAAGTTGGCTATTTAGGGTTGTGTTTAAAACACATGCAATGTAATTTAAATTATTGCTCCTAGAGCACTGAACCAAATTCGACGAAACTCGATCAGCGTGAAGTCAAGACATTAAGGATGAAAAAGTGCCACGGGATTTTTGATATCTCGAACGGTTTGGCCGTGGCGAGGAAACGAAATTATGGCGAGAAACATGGAACAGGATGTGTGTTATAACTTCAGCATACATTAACTGATCTTGATGAAACTTCAGCAGTGTTTTCGCTGTAAGAGACCGATCACATGGATGTGACTATTGTGAGTCAAAGTTATAGCGCCACCAACTGGCAGCAGGAAGTGTGTCACTTTCAAAATGCCGTGGCAACGAAACAAACTTTAACATTATTTTTTGATGCTTTTGGGACTCTTAGCTTGCTTGAAATTGCTTGAAACTCAACAGATACATCACATTTATTAGCCAATAGACATGTGCAACTATGGCAAAAGATTAAAGTAATGTCAAAAAAGTAAACACTAAAAGCCTCATATCTTCTAAAAATGTAATTATACATCATTTGTTTCTAAATTAAATTATACAAATATTATAACTTCCCCAATTTTTCCTTTTTTTCATTTAAGAATTGTGTTTACGTTCAAAAACAGCCAGAATTGTTGTAAAATTCATAAAAAAATAATAATCTGAGTCATACGTAGTGCTATACTGCCCTCTTGTGTTCAATATCAGGTAGGCCTATTGTGTATATTCCCACCGGTTAATCAACGTGTGACTCCGCTGGGACTTGGGAGCTTTTAAATCGCTTACTTAAAACCGAAAGTCAAAATACGGATGTCCGCACAAGACATTAATGGTGTGGAGTAGAGCGAGCATTTTAAATAAATTCCTATTAAGTAGGATTGAACTAAACAGAAAGAATGTTCACTCTGTTCTGCTGGTTCCTCGCTGGTGGATCATATGATTACTTTGTCATAATCTATGACAAAAATGCTATTATAAACCATATTAATAATAGATAATACACATTGCTCTTATTTTTGAAAAATACATTCATGAAAAACAAGATAACAAAAATCATTAAAAAAAAATATAGCCATGGCTGCTATAAAGCAACATATAATTGAAAGGCAATTAATAATCTGTCATTACGTCACTGCATTATGATATTACGGCTCCAATACGGTGCAGCACAAAGCACTTATGTGCATCCCGAGCGGAGAATGATGTGCTTGAAGCCACATGAAGTTACAGCGCATTGAGTCCGTATTGAAAAGTTCAAAGCACAAAGGAAATACATATTTATGAACAGTGTATTATACATTATCTATCTATGCAATAGTTTATTGAGCCTTTTCTTTTAAAGGTTTTAAATTTCAGTTACTGTGTGCGTGAAGAACAATTATAGTGCTCTGACTCTAGTGTTGTGATCTAACCGACAGCGTCCGACACCCGGTAGAAAGTAACACGATTAAGTTACAGCAATAAAGTCCAGCAAGAAAAAGTTTCTTCATTCGAAAATATAGACCTTTAGACCTTTATCTTAAAGATCCAGTATAATAGGATTAACATTGAATCATTGAAGATCGTTTCATCATTGACTGTAACCGAATGTGACGTGCTGTTTGAATGCTGAATGGAGAATGACTGACAGGCGCAGAGAGGGAAAAGTTTGTGTTCTTGAATTTAATGACTTAAATATTAATTTCTATATCACATAATAGCTTCAGAACACTAATAATACAGTACACAAAAACTTTATGGTACTTTAGAAAGTTTTTGTGCCTTTGTGCCTAACAGAATAGTATATGCACAATATAGAATTTGAATCAGCCTCGTCAAAGATGGCAGTGTCAGAGCCGATACCGATCCTGAGTATCTAATCGGCGCACTTCTTTTCAACAGTCAAATTGAAATTGAAATTGCTTGAAACTCAACAGATACATCACATTTATTAGCCAGTAGACGTGCAAAGTTTCAGAAACGGGCAATGTGCAAGGACTAAATAGCGCCACCTTTTGACAAAAGTGGGGTTGTTAGTTTTATCTACAGTTACAAAAATCGGTATATACATTGTACTCCTCAAGCCGGACAACTTTCTAATACATAGTCATTAGCTCGGACCAAGAGGAAGTCAGATATTTTGGTTTGAATATGGTGAGCCTCTCTCTGAGCCTACGTCCCTGTATGGCAAGCCCTTTTAACATTTAAAAGCTAAGTTTGCCTGTCCGGAATTAACATTGTAGATATCAACAACGTCTTTCTGTCTATTCGTAATTACATTTTGGATAGTTTGTATTATCATTTAAGACATCTGTAACATAATTGTGACTAGTCGAAATGACAGAGTATGGCAAGCCGTTTTAACATTTAATCATAAAAGGGCCAAAGCCTTCGGCACCGCTACCCGGGTGCCTTTAGGTAACTAAAGGAACCGGGGTTGCGGTGCCACCGGCTTGGGCCCGCCATCGCTGCTCGCAGCTATATTTTTGTTAATAATTTCACATTTGTTCAGTGTTTTCTGTTTAAGCTGACTTCATAACTCTGACACCCTTTTCAAAATGTGCTTGGGCGGTGATTCCATAGTTTTATAGTGTACTGGTAGCTATCAAATGATCATACCGGCTTGAGGATAATGTCATCATTCTCACAAAAGGAACCCTGACAGGGTCATATAAGGTTCTGTGTTATTTTACGATGATAAACTGTCTCTGAGTCTGTGCAAATGGTGGGGATTTTTCAGTGTTGCAGATTATAAATTTACGTCAGTAGGTGGCGAAAAATAGCCATCTTTTGTGTCAGTGGGTCGGTCATGTAAACCGGGGACGACTGAAAGGCCGTTTTATTTGATTTATTCAAAACAGTAACAAACAGCTGTTCTATTCTCGGAGACGCTCGACGATTCATTCTGCTTGGACAGTTTTAAAACGGAGATAAATTACGACTTATAATATAATTATGACAAAATAATAATAATAATGCTAAAGTCTTTAAATACATTTTATGCAACTATGAATTTTATATAATTTCGAGTTTTATCCATTTTTTACAGTCTATGGTTTTATCTCATAGTTTTGATTTATACTCTGACAGAGTAGTTTATTTTTCTGTTCTGAATTCAGCATTTCTGTCATAATGTCATTTCTGTCTTAATTTCGACTTTTTGTCTCATAATTTTGACTTTCTGATAGTTATACTTTTTGGGCCATTCCACCGAATGTGTGACAATTGTTCTAGCCAAACTCTTCAAAATTAAACTTTATTTTTAGTATTTTTTCAACACTGAATCAAATAGGCTACACATATTTTACTAGGCAAAATGTTTATTGGTCAATCTCAGACAACTTCATTTAATTTTTACAAGGTTTCCAAGCAGACGATGCACTCATGTTTTGCAATTTGCCATTTAAAAAGAATGATTAAAAGTATGTCACTTAATTCCTTTGTTTTCCCCACAAGAAAGTTTTTTCTTCTTTAAGCAATTGTTGTTTATTGTTTATTGTATGTTCAAATAATTGATATTTGTGACAAAAAAAAAACACTATTAAGGCATGTATTTAAAAAAAAACATTGAAAAAAAAAAGATTTCTGAAGGATTTTAATAATTATGTTTCATGTAAAGTTTAGAGATAGAGAGTGGGGATATGCAGAAAATGCTATTTTTTATTTGAGTGTTTTATGTACTTTTATTAATGTTTTTAACTTGTAGATTTTTACATTTGAAATTTTTAGTTAGCTTAATAATATGCTTTTTGCTTAATAATAAAATGTATTTTAGAGTTCATTTTCATGCATTTTTATACATATAATGTCCTGGAGACAGGAATGTAATCCTTTCGGTGGAATGGCTCTTTTACAGTTTTACTAAATTATGATTTAACAAAAAATACAAAATTACTGTCAACGCATTGTGTCTTTCTTCTGCTGAACACAAAGGATGATATTTTAATGACCAAACAGATCACAAAATATCTTTCTTTGTGTTCAGCAGAAGAAATTAATACAGGTTTAATACTTGAGGGTGAGTAAATAATCTCCGAATTTAAATTTTTAAGTTAACTCCTTTAAGGCTCTTTATTAACATGAACTGTTTTATAATAAAACGAATACTGTTATTCATAATAAATAATAATGTAAAAACATAATTGCATAGTTCAGTACTTTATGTACTTCCACCATGAAGCATACCAATACATCTTGTATTAGTTGTGTCCACAAAGTACCACAGTACACTTTGGTAATTTTTTTGTTAGTGTTAGTCTTTGTCTCCAAATCTTAGCTGCTTTTCTTGTACGTAGAAATATTTTCTTTAAATCCTATGAGGGTGATATAGTGAAAATTACTTTGTTTGAATTTTTATTGGAGTATAAACATTTTACCTCAGGATTCATTCTGTGCAGGTATAGCTTAGCTGTGCTTATTCACATTTTCTCCACTCCAGTAGTTTCTCTTTATAAATCTGTTGAGCACTGTGTGATCACGAGGGGACAACAAATAATAGCTATAGTGAAAACATCTTCTCCAAATGCAGGAGCTGGCCTTGTTTTATACTTTATTACAAAACACAGCTTGTACTTTCTTAACTTTTTAAAAATAATCTTATTATACAATTACAAAATAATATATTTGATACATCAAATATTTAATGAAAAAAATCACCACAGACCCACTTTTATTATATATTTATTTTTATGTTGTCATTGTTTTCAAACACACACACACATTTTAATTTCTAACTTGGAACAATAAACACAGGTCATCATAACTGTCATTTTTTTTGCAATATATATATATGTATGTTTATATATATATTTTCCCAAGATGTTCATCCATATAATAGACATTGACAGATTTACTCTACAATTGAATTCATGTATGTCTGGTCACCAAATGGTTTCCTGTTACAATGTACTTCGTTCCGTTTAATGCAGTCCACTATAACTTATGACACAAATAAATACAAAATTAAATAAAATAACAACAACATAAAGTCAGATTGTGAAGATCGTATTACCCATTATCCTCCAGCCTAGTCCCTCCAAAAAGGCCAGACAAAAAGGGGTAATTCCCCCCCCCCCCCCCCAAAAAAAAACTCCATAAATCAAATAAATAAACAAATGAATTGTTATCAATACAGCAACTTGGTTCGATGCATTTCTTGACCTCCACAAAGCTATATGGAACCGCCCCCCTTGAATTTTGCTTCTTTATACTCTTTTTTTTTCAGTCCCAAAAACCTTCGAAAATGATTTGAACTCTTGTAAAACTCCATAACTTTTCATTTAAAACATCTCTGAACTCATAGCAACCGATTAAAGTTGATATTTCACTCTGTACAAGCTTTCTGAAAAACTCTTGACATGCTAACCTATAATAAGGCAGGGTTCAATTTCCAGAATTAGCCTACTCGGATGTCTTAGGTCACTGTTCTTATATTTAAAATTAAATTCTAGAAAAAAATAATGACTAATCACAATGAAGCTGTGCTAAACAGCCCTTTGTGAAGCCTTAACTAATTTATGTTTAAAATAAAGTAAACAACTGAAGACTAAACAACTGTACGATATGAGGAATGGAGAAATCCCTGTCCGGTAAAGCTCTGCGTCTTCATTGGTTCCCTCCCAATAAAGAAGAAGCAGTATCTTTAACAGGCTGGCGTGACAAAACTACTCCCACCATCCCTCTCAATCCACACGGTTTTAAACAAAACACACAGTAAGTGCCAAGACAAAAGAAAATGTCTTCACACACTCACAAAGAAAAACAGTATAGCACATACATTATTTGTAGTAGTCCCCTATTAGAATCCTTTGATTAATTTGTCATGTTTAAGTCCTACCCCAATGTGTGTAGTTTATTAGTTACAGATCCCTTTAAAATGTTTATGACCCCTGGGAGAAAAATCTTTATATTTGCCTAATATAATATAGAGACTCTATATTATTAACATCTTATTCTAACTTCCAACTGATTGTTTATTCCTTAAATGTGAAGTCTAAAAAAAGGACCCCCTTCCCAGATGAAGCCCACACTACAACACAAAACAATACAGATTTGTTTTTTTTTTTGCTTTTTTCTTCTTAAACAGCTACAAAGTAATAGTTTCATTTTTAATACTCAGCATTACACATACAGACCTAAAGGAGAAGTTGTGCTATCATTGTTTCAGATATCAGGCCTGTGATTTGTCAGTCAGATCGTGGTTTCAAAATCCTTATCTTGTTAGCAATCTAAATATTCAAGTAAAATAAACATAGACCTGAAAACTATGCTGAGCGATAGGGGATTTCTTGAACTTTTGCTGGATGAGGCTTTTAAAAACCAGAGATCTGGGGAAATGTTGTCTCTTAACCTGTTTTTGATGACAGTTGGCAGTATAAGCGAGATATAATAATAATAATATGGTCTTTGGTCATTTTTCATTAATATAGCTCGACGCGAGTGCACATAAGAGTGAATGAGCATGGAAAGATGAAAGAAAATGAAATGAACTAAGGCTATCTCCTTTTAAAGAAGAAAAATGAATGAAATGAAAATGAAACAAACCGTTTGTTTGTTCAGAAACCATAAAAAGTAAATATTACGAGTAAAGGGATAGTTTAGGGATATACCCGCAAAATGAAAATTCTGTCATCAATTAGTCACCCCCATGTTGTTCCAAACCTGTATACATTTACTTGTTCTGTTGAACACAAAATACAATATTTTAAAGAATTATTAGGGAAACTGAACAGTTCTGGGTCACCACTGACTTCCATCATATATTTTTTTCCTACTTTGGAAGGCAATGGTGCCCCAAAGCGGCCTGGTTACAAACTTTTTTTCAAAATATCTTCCTTTGTGTTCAACAGAACAAAGAAACGTATACAGTTTAATAATGACAGAATTTTAATATTTGGGCGAACTCTCTCTTTAATTCAGCTCTAATCATCAGGCTTTTCCATAAACACACCAATGGAATCATCCCTCTAGCCCCACCCCCTCAAACCAGTGGCTCCGCCCCCTGTCACAATCAATCTGCTAATCTATGCCCTCCCCCCAGGTTGCCATGTGAACAGCCTTTCTTTACCTGCAGAGGTCTAAGCAGCCTAATCTCTCAGGATGAAGCCGAAATACTCTACATACAAAATCTATTTACAGCGACGGGCAGCTAGAGGCAGAATCAAAGTGTGAAAGGAGGAAAGCTAATGCCGTTAACTGAGAAACGAGTAAGGTGGGGGTGTTCACGTGCAGACGCACACTTCACGCCTGGCTTGCTTCTTGTCGACAGATAGGGCGGATGAGACTGAAGGGTGATGCTGATGGAGGCGTAGGCCTATATGTGCGCGAGAGCAAACCGAGAAGGGCACGGTGAAAAAACAAAAGCACACAAAGAAAAAAAGCGTCCCCTCAGGTGCTTGGCAGTGTGTAAACTACAGCTGAACTCAACAAACAGGCACACAGAAAGGTGGACAATAGCGAGGGACACAAGTGCTCCGTGTGCACACGGCAGCAGTGTCAAGTCCTGAAACGACGTGGTCCCTTTCCTGCCTGCTTCACACACAAAAATATAATTTACAAATCTATTACTATAATTCAAAAGAAAGACTAAATAAAAAGGCAGTATCTAGATTTAAGAGAGAGAACCACGGCTGTTGAAACTAGCTCACGTTGAAGTAGTAAGATCAACCTGTGTGCTTTCAGACGGATGAACTCGTGCATCGGTTTGGCAGTAGTTCTGCCGCGAGGAAGTAACACAGCGCATGGTTCTCTCACAGTCTGACCAGTTAAAAAGCGACATCGAAAACAAGCTTTTTGTGCATGATACTATTTCCCCTTTTCGGTCAGTCCCACCCCCACACTTTGTATGGAGACTCTCTGGCCTTGAAAATCTTTACCAGCAGAATGAATCGGGTCCTGATTTCGTTTTGTTTCATGTCACTTACAGCGCAATTGAACCATGTGATTTTTTTGTGCAATTAATTACGACCAAACATAGTTTGACTCACAAATACTTGAGGTTGTTTAAGACCTGTTTTGGAATTCTTTAAGATAAATACACTTACTCTGTTTGATAGACAGCATAATTCTACACTGCTATTAAGGAATGTTTAAGAGATAAGACACTAAAGACATCAACTTAAGATAAACATCTACAGTCATTGGTCCAGTCTGTTGTGGCAGTTCACTAATAGAGTAGGTACTGTTGGTAAGAAAGAAAGGGGGTTGAGGGGGCAACGTGTAGGTCTGAGATAGAGTGGATGTGATTTAGGAAAAAATTGGGGATATTGATTTAGTACCTTGGTTAAGAGAGTCCATAGCTTGTGCAAAAATACACCAATACACACAAGAAATAGTGAAATAGAGCGTGCAAGATACAAACATCCAGATTAAGAGGCAGTAGTTTAAACCTGAAGCAAAATAAGTCTTACAAAACTTAAAAAAATATACAAATGCACACTCACACACAAACTACAAAAACCCATTATATCAGAATAAAACTCTACAAAGAACATTTGTAATATATACTGTATAATCTTATCGTATTTTAAGGGTCGTGATTTCTTTTTTTATCGGTTGTCGTTGCCACAAGTAATCAGGAGTTTTGAGTATGAACAGTATTTCAGAAAAGCCGGAGGTATTTACAGAGGATACATGGCCACACACTCACTGACAGGACAAACGAGGAGTGACAGGGGCCCAGCTGTGAGGCACGGGAAGGGCTCGGGAAGGGGCTGATTTAGGCTCTTTGAGGGCAAATAATTTCATTGTTGTGAGAAGTCATTTTTTTCTCATCTTTTTTGGGAGGGATTTCTCTGTGGCTTGGAATTGGGCGTTCATGAGCTCAGAGTGGGGTAGGAACATTGCGCTTTTAGGTGCTGAAGTACACTGTGAAGAGAAGGAAATAATTTATTGTCAACACTTGAAAATCACAATAAGAAATAGAATTATATAACATGAGTCCCTGTGGGCCGGTTTCACAGACAAGGCTTTGGGTGCGTTTGAACGACAATGATGTACTAAAAACTGCAACGTTTTTCCGTAAAACATTTTTTTGCGTACAAATCGATCCCTGTTCACATGGATCCACGAAAACAACTAAAAACGCTGTGTTCTACTGCCAGGCCAGTAGTTGGCGATGTCGCTTTGTAAAGAAACAAAATGCCCCACTTACAAATTACAAATTCGCGTTTGTAAAGAAACTAATAATGTTGTAACCTGCACTCTTGTTTACTACAAATAAAGTCCCGCAGTTAAAATTACAGATCGTATGTGCACATTTTTATATCCCTGCACTGCATATGGATAGCCAGATCGAGCCCAGTGCAGCATGGGTGTTGAACTTTCCCTACTTTTCCCGGCAAAGTGCTAGTCGTGTAGCACTGATTGTTTTTTCATAGATAACCAAATTGTATTTAAAGCCCATCTTGTCAGTGGCAAATAATCTATGGAATATATTTTTTTTTTTTCAAAATTATTTTCTGTGTTGTATTTAAATCAGAACATTCCTTTGAAAATGAATTAGAATATTTTCATTGCTTACCAATGATTATAATGAGGACAATCACACATATCACCCCCAGGATAATCATCATCTAAAAAAAGGAGTTAAAAAAAGGGAGAATGAGTTAAAAGCAGTAAAAAGTAGATTATTAAGTTCTAACCTTCATACATGTGATCCAATAATGTGTTATTGGTCAAATATTATTTTAAAATATATTATATAAAAGACTCTCATTTCAAAAAAGTACACTGATTTAAGGTTTACTGTTTGCTTGATTTCGATGTGTTCTCATGAAATACATTGCCTTTTTCAGTCTTACTCAAGGCACTTTGTGTGATGTTTACCTTGGCATTCTTCCACCAGTATTTATTCTTGAGCTTGGCGGCGCTGGTCTCGAACTGCGAGGCTCCAGCCTGCAGGGCATCAGCCCGATCATCCAGTTCTGACAGCTTCTGGTCCCTCTCCAGAACCTTGTCCACGTTCACACGCATAATGTCCACCACCTGGAAAACGATGAAGGGGACTCATAGTCAAATGTTCCATCACTAGATAGATCTGTTGTGCAGTGGTGTGCAGTGGTGATTTAAAATGAGGAGGGGAAGTCCTCACACACACACACACACGCACACACATATATACAGGTGTGTGTGTATATATATATATATATATATATATATATATATATATACCAGGAAAATTAAGTGTAACAGGCACAAATGGACATCTGCAATATATATACCAGATGTCAATGTATCCCTGTTACGCTTCATTTTCCTAGTTAAATAAACATTACATTAAAAAGAGGTGTTGGACAGTGTTACTTTATAACAACACTTTTTAATGTCACATTTTGTAATATTTGTGTGGTTTTATTTTTGTAAAATTTTCTCATCCAGTTTTTTTAGGTCTGGTTCTGAAAGTGCACTTATCGTTGACAGAAGATAAAGAGATGGGGTCAACTCACCTCATCCACCTGAGCCTGTGTCTGCTGTAAGCGACGGTTGCTGGTGAGGTTAGGAGGAGCGTTGGCTCCTTCTGGAGCACCGGCAGGGGCTGGAGCAGACCTGCAAATCAACACACAGTACAGTCACTCCTCTATACTACAATATTACAGTATTACTTATACTATATAATACTACATGTTTGTATTTACTAGTACAGTGATTTATAGAACTTATATATGAGATAAAAGAGGACAAGGAACACTTTTGCATGCATTGGCATAAATTACAAAACAATCGTTTTGTTTTTTTTTTTTTTAGAATAGAATAGCCATTTGAAATTTGTTTTCAAATTTCAATTTCAATTAATTACTAAATCAGTTACATTAAAGACCTATTTGTACAGGAAGTTATGTCTTATGGCATGCAAGCAAGATTACATACAATTATATGTTGTTATTGCATCCTCATGCAGCCATTTTTGTACAGACTAGAATGAAACTAAATTAAATGCATTTTAATCATTTTGTGTAATTACATTAAAATGTTCTGCCTTTCACTAACAGAAATTAGAAGTGTAAGTAAAGGATATTTCTAAAAAAAAGTCTCCTTGCTGATGCCACTCTCATCCACCAGAGGAAGACAAAACTCTGTATAAAGGTCACCTCTGGAAGATCCCTAGATCTAATCCCTGTTTGCTTTCCTTTCAGTGAAGGAAGCACTTTTTCTTACTGGGATCTTTATCAGCCAATTTTTCATTCTGATTTACTTCCGCTCCTTCTAATTTACAACAGCCTATATTTAGACATAAAGTCTTGGCTCCTCTCACTTTCACTGACAGGAAAATATTGAATTTCAGTAACAGTTGAATGGCTCTTATGGCCAGAACATTAATGTAACATTCTGGTAACTCAGATTTATATTTTCATGTCTAAAATCCATTAAAACAAATCATGATTCTTTGAAAGTGGACTTTAAACAAATGTATTACTGCTTGTTTTCTGTTTTATTTCAAATACATAATAGGCTTTAAGAACAAATAGACTGTGATTCAGCCATGATTCAATGCTAAATTAGAAGTCAGATTTAGGTGTAGACAAAATCCTAGTTTCATTATCTGATGGCTGCGATGAAAATTTCTCAAGGAAAATCGAATGTATTATGTGTCATGCCTTCTCTAATGTTATGCGTCGTGAGTTTAATGAAATGACACACCAAACATTGTACTGTGCCATCAGAAAAATTGACTTGCATAACCAGGCCTTTTTTTTCCGGTGCTCACTAAAAAATTATTATTGTGTGAGTGAGTAAGCATTGTACATGTACTGTAGTTTTACATGAATATGGGGTTAATCAATTGTTTCTGTGCTCTTCCTTGTACTTGAATGGTAAAGGCAGGGGCATATGAATGATGGGGAACATCCCCACCCCCACACAAGGCCTTCATTAAGCGTCTACCTGTATCTCTGTCATCGTTGCGTCACGATCAACATTTTTTTCAAATAACAGGGGCAGATGTTTACACTTGCTACCAAATGACATTTATCTATTTTGCATTGTGTTGGCAAATGTTACAAACTTAATACAACCGTAGGCTATTAATCTAAAATGTTATATCAAAATATAACATTCCAAACCCAGTGATTCTTTAATAAAAGTATCCAATAGGGACTGGCAACATGTTATGAAGATATGCGCCATTTACAGCCTCGATTATTTAAACCAGTTAAACGAGCGTGCCTAGAAAATACTAGTATACACGGCCATCTTTCATGCAGAGGAACACCTGCGCTCTTTGTGCCAGTCCAACCAAGTATCAATGAATATAAAGGCCTGTTCCATAGAAACGTGCTGATAGGATTAGAGAATAATATAACTCGAAAATATAACAAATTGTATCGCCCCCTTTGAATGAACACGAGCTTATGACCGTCCGTTTACCAACCCCCACGACTCGCGTGGAATAAGCTATCACGCCTCTAGTGTACTGCCTACGTAAGGGATGTTTTTTTTTTTTTTTTAAACCGTGTGAGGTATATTTTTCATCATCTTCATTTAAATGTCATTTGTGAAAAAAATAGGCCATGAATGAAATACAATGGGCCTAAATGAGACAAATTAATGTTTTTTCCCCCCAATTGACATCGAAATGATCACCTGGACAGAGTGAACAAATAGCCTATATTAACTGCAACATAATGTTAACTCATAAATTATTTTCTTTCTAAAAGCGCGCGACCAATTCCAGACAAACCAGTCCAATCCGGTGTCTAGGCGTGATTCTATCGCTGTTGCTCCAAGTCCAAACGCCAGAATAAAGCGAAAGATATCTACATTATACAAAATAAATGAGCTCCGTGGTAATAATTCAGTAAACAGAGACACATTTAGTATGCCAGTAGTAGCAACTGAAATGGAAAATAACATTGGCCATTGGGAGCCTATAGACTAATTATATAGCAAGCGCGCTCGTTAGAATTCAATGGGTCTCCTGAAATACTTAATAGATTTAGAAAAATGCGTGTACAATAAAATATAAACTTACAATAGCCTAATGAAGTAGGCTATGCTTAGGCTATTTGTGCATAAATGTATTTACGTTTATGTTTTATTATCTGAGAAAACGGAGAAAAGAATGGGGTTTAAAAACTAAATCAGCTCATTTAAAAAATAAAAAATAATTGTAATGAATTTGTACTTACATTTTAACCGGGTTTTATGTGCGTCTAGAAGAAGTGTGGATGAACGCGCTGCTTCAGGCGTTTCTCCCCGTCTCCCGGATAAATAATGCACTCTCCAGGTTATTCCAGTAAAGAGGTATTCCTTGTATATTTGTTACGGTTTGTATGTATTTATTTCCACCGGTGTGCCGCGCCTCGCTATTATTCCTTTTTATAATAAGGGCGCCCTACCGCTACTCGCTTCTGTCACTATGTACACAAAAAATAGATGCTCGGATTAGGGGAACAAAGATGGCTCGTTGACGTCACTCGTCATCCGGGAAGCTGCAGGTTGGAAGCACTGACCATGAGAGACAGGAGATGGAGGATGCATTGCCTGTTGACAGTATGACTAGATGGGACAGGTCATATTTAAGCTATACGTGTGGAACGCATTAAGATAGATAATAATACGTAAGATGACGTGGGAGGGGGTCCGTTGATTGTATTTCCACAACATGCCCTGTGTTTAATTTATTTATAAGGATTGTTGAAACAAACAAAATGGCGGTCTATGAAGGGGGTGAATGGGCTTAGGGCTGCGTATAGTCACACTAGTTCGTTACCGTTTGAGGAAGATGGAAACAAGATATCACTTTAAAACCTTGGAAGCGGTATATTATAACGTGTCCCAAGCACATGGGTCACCTATGCAATTTCATTTTAGCACTAGAATTAGTGAATGTTTCTTAATATTTTGGGTCTACTTGTTGTGCCTTACAGTATTATCTAATGTGTGATATATGTATGTCTTCAAAGTGTAATAGTTAAAAAGAATTTATTAAAAGTGTTTTGGCAGCGGTGGGATTCGAACCCACGCCCCCGAAGAGACTGGAGCCTTAATCCAGCGCCTTAGACCGCTCGGCCACGCTACCATTGGATGTAAAGGATTGTCGACGATTACAAAATATATAACGAGTTGTTATACCATTATTTTGAAAAGCGTTTTCATTTTGTTTTATAATCAGGCGTATATTTTGTTATCGTTCTTATCATCCATAAGGAAAAGTACTGATAGTCGTTGTTTATTGTAGTAGTCACAAATTATGATGATGACAATTATCAAATTGACAACATCGCTCAACAGGTTATTTAAAAAAAAAGATAAAATGTATGATGTTTCCCCTTGTTTCAATAACACGATAATATTATTTGACCACTAGATTACGCTATATGCACATATAATTGCCTACAAGAAAGACGTTATTATAATTCAAATGGATGAAACGATAACATAAATGCAAATCTACCCTGGTTTTATGCCTTAAAAAATAGAATGGTGCTTCTACACTCATTTCTACAAGTGTGTCCTTAATCAGTTCGTCTGCTTGGAACTTTGCATTAACATTTAAATTCTGGAGAGTGACTCACTCAGCTTCCGCCTATGGTGAACACCCACATCCTGTCAAGCCCCTCCTCTCCACTTATGTTAACTGTTATTTTTTAATTAACTAAACACACATTTTACATGTTTTATAAAATACTTTGATGTAAATGTGAAACAGTATATGTGTATGTATTTATTTAATCGGTACACGAATATTTTAGTGAATAAATAGCGAAAAGACCATCGATTTTAAAATCGACCAATGGGATCGCTGGAAACACAAGCTTTTTAACATGAGAGTTGAAAGTAGCTGAATTTAAAATCTATAGTTTACCTTTTAAAAAGTCACAAAAAGCATTTGTTTTGCTACTATTCATGAAATATATGATGAGATACTTGTTTTGTATTTTGAATCCCTTAACTGAGTAAGAATCACAACCATGATGTAAAACACATGCTTGGTTTACAAAATCATCTCGAGCCCGAGTCACAAGCACGTCAGTGAGGTACATCCTTACCTGTTACCTTTTTGTATAAAGGTTTCAGTACATGATGATTGGATTCTATGAATACGTGATTATTTTCCGTATTTGTTATGGGCTGCAACCCCTTAACGAATCCTTTCTGATCCCTGATTTGAAGGTCAAAATGTAATCAATGAGTGTAAAGTGGACTATTAAAACCGACCAATTAGATTTAGCAGTATGTATAGTACCAATGCTCATACTTGTTAATGCGTTTTTGTAATGGTCGCTTTTACACCGCTGAATTATATGATCATAACAAGTTCTTTTTGACTACACTATACTGGTGAAGGCAAGGTGGCCGTTACTTGAGTGGTTAGGGCGATGGACTGCCAGTATATTGTGCTCTGCACCGTGGGTTCGATCCCATCCTCGTCGAATTATTTTCAACAAGTTGTTATGCGACATGTAAAAAAACGGAAAATGCAATCAGTGAGAATGTTTTCCAGCTATCAGTATCCAAGGTTTATCGTACCTGAGAGGTACAAAGGTTTGAGGGAAATCGACTTTGTTATACAGAAGAAATGCTCATGCTCACCTAGAAACACAAATGTAAAACAGGTGATCATTACGTTTTTTCAAAAAACTACCTTATACGAAAGAGTTTACAGGCGCCGTGGCTTAGTTGGTTAAAGCGCCTGTCTAGTAAACAGGAGATCCTGGGTTCGAATCCCAGCGGTGCCTTTTACATTTCGCAAACCGTGTTTCTTGTTGATTTTTTTTTCAAAACGAAACAGCAAATATACACCAGTAATGCGTTTGTTGAGAACGTAAGAGATATTGGGATTTTGAGAAAAAATTCACCAGTTAAAAAATGTCTGAACACAACACATGGGTCAAATATATGGCTCTGTTTGAGATCTGCGCGCTATGCAACATGCGAAACGTTAAAAGAGTCAGGAAAGCTTCCTAACTTTGAAAACGAATTTGGCAGCGGTGGGATTCGAACCCACGCCTCCAGAGAGACTGGAGCCTAAATCCAGCGCCTTAGACCGCTCGGCCACGCTACCCCGTACGGCCATGTAGAAAATGGTTTACAAATAGATGCACTACTCTATTTTGTATTTTTTTTTTTTCGTGATTGACTAACGTTAGTGTGTTTTGATATACGAAAGAATCTGTTTTTCTATAAGCGTTTCCATGACATGACCCATGGTGTCAGTGTCCACACATACTATTCATTTAGGCATAAATAGCCTATAATGAAACAAATAGACAAAACGTAAAAATAATTAAGGAAACAAATCAGTTGTTTTTATGTAAAAAAAAAAAAAAAAAGAAGAAGAAAAAAGAGAAAAGTGAGCATGTAATAACTGTCAATTTTTATTCTGGCGCCCAGGTTTATTTTATTTAAAGAACTTAAATCTCACATTGGCTAGCCTACATTTTATTAACAATGACATGGTTTACTTTATTTTAGAAATTATCCGTCACTGTGATAAAAAAACAAACAAAACAAAAACATGAATGTAAGGGTAAATTATTAAATGCATTTTTTTTTTTTTTGACTTTTTAAATCAAGGTGCTCAAGCTGCATGGCGGAATGGATCATATAGATCTTGATTGAAGTCATATGGGTCATAGGTTGGAACTGGAGCATTTTGGATTTCTTTTTTCTCTGTTTCCGATTTTAACTTCTCAGCTGGGAGCACTGGTTGCGGTTCGATCATCTTTACTGGCCTGGGAGGATTGTCGATGAGGCAGTCTGGGTCCCAGTAAGGATCACAGTCATACTCCATTCCTTTGATAATTATTGGAGGAGGAGGAGGAGGCGGAGTGGATTTTTGTGGAGGAGGAGGAGCAGGCGTCACTTGCTCTGAAGCAGTTACAGGTGGAGATGGTAGCTTCTGGTCAGGGCTAAGTTTACAGTTTGGGTGGTAACGTGGATCGCAAAGTACAGGTACCCCACCGGAGGGAAGATACACAATATGAGGCTTGCATTGGGGATCTTTTGAATTACACAGGTACATGACATCCATCTTAGAGACAGGTGGTAAGGTAGAGGGTGGAGGCTGGGTCGTGGGTGGAGGCGTCGACATAAGTTGAAGACCGAGGGTATTCTGGTATTTGGGTGCATCAGGGCCATAAGTGAGCTCCAGGTGTCGCATCTGCTGGTAAAGCATTCGAAGTTTGTCTATCTCATAGAGCTAGAAGAGAAAAATAGAAGATTGAACCAGAGACAATGAAACACTTTTGAGCATTTTAGTAGACAATACTTCTGTTTTTAATTATAGTGTATCGCTTGCTGTGGCAAAACCTTAAAGAGACAGTTCACCCAAAATTTAAAAATTCTGTCATCATTTAAATCACCCTCTTGACATTCCAAATCCATGAGAGTTTGGTTAATTGTTGAAAACTTAGAAGATCCAACACAGAAGATCCAAAACTTGGATTGAACGGCTAAATTTTATAGATTATTTTTGTGACAGCTTTATAACCTATTGGATCTTCTAAGTTTTGGTTACCTGGACTTTCAATAGAGGGACAGAAACTTTTCAGATTTCATTGAAAATATCTTCATTTTTCATTTAGAACAGTAAACAAAGTCTTAAGGGGTTTGGAACGATACAAGGGTGAGTAAATGATGACAGAATCCTCATTTTTGGGTGAACTATCCCTTGCAGTACCGATATAACTTAAAGAATAGCTCAAAACAATATTTTATCAGTTAATTGATATCATTATTAATATTTTTACTAAATTAATATAACATTGGACTTATTTGATTAGATTTAGAACAATTTATTTAATATGCATTATTCATTTAATCAAGAACATCAATTTACTGCTACTACCAGTGGATTTAAAAAAATCAATAATAAGTAAAAAGAAAAAACATAATTTTCTTCTTACTCCTTCAATGTGGCCAATACTGCTGTAGTAACGATAGTAGGACTGAAAGTCTGGATTTTTGCGATGCCAGTTGGGGTCAGTGGCTCTCCTTGGACGTGCGTGTGCCAGAAAATCATGAGCTTGTTCAGAGTCAATGCTGACGGCTGGATTAGATGCTGCAAGAGAAATTAGTATTAATGCATAATTAAAATAGCTATTATTTTGGAATAGTCTAAAAGACAATTTTCATACACGAATGGTGTTTCACTGGCAAAAGTGAAGGCACTAAATGTGACTTGAGATATTTCAATCTTACCTGTGTCTTTGGAGACTTTTGCTAGAGATGTGGCCTGCGACACTGCAACAATATTTTAAATGATATTTAATATTAGCAGGATGTTCATTTCTTGAAAAAGGTTTTGGATATAAATAATCCTACCTGGCAGAATTACCAAGCAGTGCAGAGCCCCAAAAAGGCACAGCAAATATGTCACCTGAAAACAGTTTTTTGTACTATTAACAATCATTATTTTACCATACAAACATTGAAATAGATTTCCTACAACATTTTCTCAACTGATTA